TGTAGAGCCAGGTGCCTGCCCATGAGAGCATATCCCGACTCTGAATTCACAGATGCTTATGCAAAGAATTTCCAACCACACTCCAGAAAATGCTGGAACAGTTTATTGCACATAAGACAACATCACCGGATCCCACCCCAGGGACACATTTCACCTAATCATGGCCTTAGTCATAGAGACTACTCTGCCCTGATTGGGCAGGACACAGTGCTGTAGTCTTGTTTGCAATTAACTTCCAGTGTTACTCTTCGTGCAGCCAGATTCTATTTTTGCGTAAAGTCAGAGTGACATCACAAACCCTGATATGCAAACCTGTTATTGACTTTACCTGGCTGGCACATTGATTAATTGGCTTCAGTAATTGCAATCATAATTGAAAAGGAGAAGTAAGCTACGGCAACTGCCATACTTGTTCACTACAGGTTTATTTTAAAACAGAGACACTTGTACTTTGGTCTGTTCCAAGAATGCTGAATAATGAGGTCACAAAGACTACTACATTTGCAGTAGGGAAACATCATTCTATGACACTTCGCATGTTTCCTATACAAAGATGGGTCTTGAAAAGAAAGTATAAACATTGTAAATTTTATTTACCTTGGAAACCCTTCTATAAATAGATTAAAAGTGTCTACAACTCCTTTGTACAAACTTCAACTGTTCACTTTGTGATAATTGTCTTTGTTCATTGTAGTCATGGATTTATTTATCTTTTGCCAAGAAGCAATATTTCAGAATTAAGGCTTTGGTGAGTCATTCAGCACTGTAGTATATCACTGCTGGTATTCTTTCAGTAACTGGTTGGCTATCACCAGTCTCTGTATTTCACTAGTCCCTTCATAGATTTCAGTGATTCGTGCGTCTCTGTAGTGACGTTCAGCTGGCATCTCTGTCACGTATCCCATACCGCCAAGGATCTGAATGGCCTAGAATGATGAGTGGTACACAAATCAGCAATACTCAAGTTCTGCACGGAATTGGCTGCTAAAGGAAATGAATGGTATCAAGATTCTAACACTTGGGATTTCCTGATAAAACAACTGCTTGTATAAACAGATCACACTGTATATGTACAAGTAAGAACTGATCAACACTGCTATTAGCCAGATCCTGAAATCTGGATATCTCACACAAGGGCTTTGTCAACCCTGATGAGAAACTTGCCTGCTGGGGTTTTAGATGTTCTCAGTACATCAACATCCCTTTCCGTGGGCTTTTATTTACAGCTTGCAATCTAACTTCTGGAAAATGATTATTAGGGATGTTCCGATACCAAGATACATTTCCAGCTCCAAGACTAGACTGAAAACAATGTATAGGCTGGACGCAGCTGTCATTTTTAAGGCGCATACAGAGCTTGTGTGATTTGTACATCCCTGTTTTAATGTAGGATTATATATTTTTTTTTTTTTATATAAATATAAGTGATGCACCGATACCATTTTTTCCCCCAGGTACAAGCTCTGATGCAGGACAATAAACAAAAATGTGACAGTTTTTCTAAAACAATACAGACTAATGATTTGAAGGACAGTGGAGCACCAGAGGCAGGTCCCAGCTGCAGCCCTGGTAGTTATATCGGCATTGGTATCTGAACATCCCTAGTTATTATTATAGTCCCTGTTTTTATTTACAATCTGCATTTTAACAGCACTGCCCTCTTAAGGGTGCCCAGATAAATAATAAAAGGGTACCTGATGGGAAATCTGTGTTGCAGCCTCTGATGCAGCTAGTTTTGCCATTGCTGCCTCCTAGAATAAACACCGTAAAATGAATGAAAAGGAGTAAGAACAACAGACAGACATCTAAAGCTTTGTATAAGTCAAAGCTCACCTTAGTATAAGGTTTCTTGTTATCCTTTAACATTGCTGCCCTCCACGTGAGGAGCCTGGCACTTTCTAAAGCAAGGGCCATGTCTGCCAACTTGAACTGAGGTTGTCCCAAGAAAAGAGGTAAGTAAGGCAGATGCATAAATGGTCTTTAACATTATTTTCCATAAAGCAGCTCACCTGAATAGCTTGCAATTTGGTGATGGGTGCCCCAAATGCTATTCTCTTCTCTGCATAGTCTACTGCACAGTCAAGAGCAGCTTGGGCAATGCCCAGAGCTTGAGATGCAATGCCAATCCTGCCAGCATCCAAGGTTTGCTAAAAACATGAAAATAAATGTAAGTAAGGCAGTGTGCACAGGATGACACAACCAATACCGTTACACCAACCATGGCAATTTTGAAGCCCATTCCAGGTTGTCCTAGAAGATTCTCACGCGGTATCCGGCAATCTTCAAAAATTAAATTTGCTGTGGAGGAAGCCCTAATCCCCAGCTTATCTTCTTTCTTCCCAAGAGATAGACCTGGTGATGGCATCTCAACCAAGAAAGCACTAATGCCCTGCAGAAGAAATAAGTAATACTAGTGTTGGTATTCATACAAAAAAAGGGTAGCAGTATGAGCTATGGTACATCTCCATATCTATTAGAGTTGCCCAGCACTGTGGATGTGCAAATCTAATACAGAAAGAGAAAACACCAAACTGGCCAAGCTGTGAGGCTACGGATGGCTTAAATGGCAATTCCACTTTCTCACTAAATGTGAGAAAATGTAATTACTCACAATGCCACCTCTACCCACCTTGCTGGTCATACCTTCGAGTGGAAGCTTCCATTTTCTCAGATTTGGTGAGAAAGTGAAATTAACCCTTTACAGAACTAAGTTCTATCTAATGGAAAAAAATACATGTACGAGTAATAGGCTGTTACTTTCATGGAGTCAAAGTTATCTGACATCTATACTTTATATGATCAATTGTACAAACAGCAGTAAAGAAGGGGTTATAGCACACAGACAAAAACATGTATGGCTCAAGACAACATATGATTCCATATACACTAGAAGAAAAAAAAGCCTCAAAACACTAGAGTATGTGCCAACATACATGTGTGCATTGGCTACCTGTCTCCTTGGAGCTGTTCAGCCCTCTAGGGGGGTATGGGAGGAAGGTATAAATGGGGGGAGAGAGAGTTAGTGACCATGTCTACAAAACTCAGTCTAGGTCTGCAAAAACAGTTGGCTGACTTACCTTGTGTTTCAAGGACTTATCTGTTGTTGCAAAGACAACTGCTGCAGAGGCATCCCATGCATTTGTGATCCAGGATTTAGTTCCATTAAGCACCCAGTGATCACCATCAAGCCTGGCAACTGTGCTTGCTGCTCCAGCATCGCTACCATTGCCTACAAATAATAACTATGCTAGTCAGGTAGGCAGAATACACGAGAACGGTTGAAACAATTTGTTTATTTGTTTTATATTGCAGTACATTGATTTTCTTATACATGCACTACTGACTGACCTCTTCAACTTCTCTCTTTAACCTCATCCCTCTTCCATGCTTGTGTTGCATGGTATGATCAACAGCAGCAATGTCAGTAGGATAGGAACTTTTCTGTGTTTTTGCCAGAGAAACCATTATCAGGGTGGCATGATCAATACTACCATCATTAAAGGAGAAGTATTGGGAGAGTAAAATATACTCTTCCCAATACTTAAGAGCTGGCGTCGGACACTGCAGCTGTCACATGCCGGCTAGATATAACTCACTTAGCCCACAGTCTCCATCCTACAGAGACGGTCGGTCGGT